AAAGCCCCAGTAGATAGTTGTATGTCATAGTTGCACATCCTTCTAGTTGCTGTATGTGGGACGCGGCCTCAGCATGGCCAGAGAAGCGGTGCGTCAGTGCGCGCCCAGGATCCCGGGCCGCCAGCAGCGGAGCGCGCGCTCTTAACCACTAAGCCACCGGGCCGGCACGGATAAAAGTACTTTTTACCCCAAATTCTAAGGAGTAAGGAACCTCATAGTCTCTAAGATGCACTCTGCAACTTCCACATCATGACCCATTCTCACATCCTTCTTTGAAGCACAGCCCAGTTGGACATCCTCCTTATGTCCCTCTTTGGCTTTGTCATTTCCTAAATCACTGAGACTCAGGGTCCTGCCTCAGAGACTTCCTCTCCATCCCAAGTGCCCCCATCGATCTGGGCAACCTCAGCGCCCATCCTGACAATCCATCTAATATGCAGCCATGAGGTTCCTGGAGCTCCCTGATTTCTACCAACTGCATGCCTTTCTAAGATCATCGCTTACATTGTCTCACCAGCCAAAGCTGGTCTCCTCTGAAAGTTCAAAATTCAACATCCACTTTCTTTCCATCTTTCAGCTTCATTCTTCCAATCACATGTGCTTGTGACCTTATGAGAGCTCTAGACTCCTGACCCTGCATTTTCACCTCAGCCGTTACCTACCTCGTTCTCCCTTCTGGATCCATTTCCTTCCCTCTCCATTCTAGACAATTTAGGACATCATTCTGACCAATCCTTACCAGCGCCTTCTTTCTTAGTCCTCACTTGTCAATCTCCCAACCTCCCTTATGATTGCCTAACTTGGCTCACTTTGTCTGTGTGTCCTCTCCTTAAAAGCAGGCTATAAAGTGCAACTGAACAAACCCACATGCTGGCATGGACAGGTGCAACAGCACATTTATTCTTTAACCACACCTGGGCCTTCAGAAGCACACAACTATACTTTTATATGACATTTGTTAGATTCTTCTTCCAGTCTTTCAGAGGCTAATTCAAACCTTTGTCACCATCCTCCACACCTTGTCTTGAAAGCCACAGTAAAAATGGAGCCAGCAGATATGAACTCACTCACCACACCCCCCTCCAGGTCTAAAAATGATTTATCTCTGAGACCATCCTGTCTTTTTCCTCCCTCCTCTAGAGGGAATGCTGAATTTCCTCCCATCCAAGGATAATCTCTCCACTTACAACATAGATCCCAATCCCTCTTGGACCCTCAGCCATCACTTATGCCCTTTTCCTCCTCTCCACCAGCTCCTCCCTCTAGTTCATGAATCTGCAGTGGTCCCTCAATCCTAGACTCCTTCTCCCTATCACCCTTCAAAGCCAAAGCACTTGAAAGAGTCTCCAGTTTCTGCACTGTCTCATGCCCCATCCATACTGCAGTCCCCTGCAGTCTGGTCTCCACCCTGTCACTCCAAGGAACATACTCTCAAGAAGTCATTGCTCACCTGATTGCCAACGTCAACAGTCACTCTTGGTCCCTATTTCACTTCACCCAACAATTGACTCTATCCATCCTTCTTCCTTCTTGAAACACTTTTCTGTCAAATACTGTGAATCTAATTTCCTCTCTCAGGTCTGACCTATTTGATCTCTCCCTTGTCTTCTACCTGCTTTTTTAAATGCTACTGTTTCCCAGGCTTCAGTTGTTTATCCTCTTCTCACTCACATACCATCCCATAGCAATCTCTGCCATAGCCACTGACACAGTGATGACTCCCAAATCTTTATTTCCACTCATGCACTCTCCTGAGCTTCAGAGCCAGATTTCAAATTTCCTACAAGATATGTGCATGTCAGTGACCTAGAGACACTTCAAGTTTAATGCTCCAGAATCCAATTCATTATCTTTTCCTCCTTATTCCTTGCCTCAGGAAATGGCAACACCATTTTCTCAGGTCTTTAACTGAACATCATCCTAGACTCCCTCACCCACTACATTGAATCAGCAGCCAAGTCCTATAGAATTTCAACATCTTGACATCTTCTGCATCTCTGTTCCTTCCCTCACCACCACTGCCCTGGATACCACCTTAGTCCAGGACCTGGTCGTCTCCCATTTCCACTATTGTAATTGCTTCTTAGCTAGTTCCCTGCCTCCAGTCTTGCCCCCTTCAATCCATCCTCCAGATGACTGTTAGAACAATCTTTATAAAATGGAAATCTGAACTTCACGGTCTAGTCTAAATCCCTTTGGTGGCTCCCCGTTGCATACAGGTAAGAGCAAATGTCTTACTTGGCACTGTATATGTTGGCCTTGCCTATCTCCACAGGCTTGTTTCTAATCATTCTCCACCCCTTCAGAATCTATTCTGCATCTACACCCACTCACATTCCCCAAACACAGGATAGTGTTCTATATCTCTGGGCCTCTGTGCATGCAGTCCCATTTTCAGGAGCACCCTCCCTCCGTTGTTGGTCTAGAGAAGTCCTACTCTTCCTTGTAGAATCACTATAGTGAAGCCTCACATAACCCTCTCACCAGAAGGAAACAGCTTGCTTCTTCCTTTGTATAATCTGTGCAAAGCCCATGTAGTGTACACATTGCACTATGACATAATTCTTTGCTTTCAGAACTGCCTCTCCTACTAGCCTATAAGGTCCTTACAGGCAAGAGCAGTTTCTTTTGTGTTTCCTGTGATCATATCATCAGCACTTAGCACGATGCTACTAGATTGCTATTACAATTGATCATTGTGATTATTATTAGATAATTGCTATTTGAATATAAATACAAATGAATGCCCACAATTTAAATCTCAATATTTGAAATGTAAAATTACAAAATAAAGAGATTTCTGTAGTTGTAAGATTTTGAGGAAAAAATTAAAGCTCTAAAAACAGGAAAGAAATTCATCTACTTAGTGTGGTTTAACTAGGCCCCAGAGGGAAGGCAAGGGGAGTAGACAACTGGATAAATGGCAATACCATTTCTCACATGCATGATCAATCAAATTGTGGGAGATCAAAACTGGCCCAGAATGTGTCTCTTTGCCTTGATTATTTTCTCTGAGGGACATTTGACCTCCCCCACTAACTGCCTAAATGAATTTAACTCTGGGTATGGATAATTTACATTTGTAAGGGAAATCTCCATTTGTGACCGTATCTCCCTCTTTGTACTGGGAAGAGGGGGGATGACTTTATCTCTAGAAACTCTTATCAGTACAGAAGGAGAGGACTTAAATCTGCACGCTCTTGATTACTGTGATTTCTGTCTCCCTCCTGTCTCCCTCCCCACCCCCAGCATTCTCCTTTGTCTTTATCTAAATCTATTTAAGGTGAAAACCTCCGCCATTTGTTGAGAAACTCAGTTTCCCTGGTTTCTCCCACGTATACATGTTATTAAACTTTGATTTTCTCCTGCTGTTCAGTCTCATGTCAATTTAATTTGTAGCCCAGCCAGAAAGGACCCAGCGTGGGTAGAGGATACTCTTCCTCTCCTTTCAAAATCAACTCTCTGACACAATTTTTAACAAGCTGTGTCAGTCCACTTTAATAAGAATTCTGATTCTAGGTGGTCATTTCAGCAGGATATGACAGAAATAGCACAACTTTGAATGTCACACAAACCAAGGTCTGAATCAAAGCTCAATCTTTTAATTGTTTTATGACTTGAGATATTTAACCTTCTTGAAGCTCAGTTTTATCTATGGTCATATAGGCTAGTTACAGCAATTCACCCACACACTTCACACTCAAGTGTCTAGTACCTAGTAACTGCTGTGTACTGATGTAATGTAATGCTATGTAATGATGTTTATTTCCTTCCCTTTTCCCAAAATAAAATGTATTTTTGCACATTTTTATCTGAGTACCTCTTCGACAAATGCCTCTCCCAGTACCAAACAAGTTATTTCTTCCCTAGACTGACAGCCAAGAGCTCTCGTAAACTTTTAGGTTTTTCTTTTTAGAAAGTAATATCTACTGTCTTCCTTTTTTTTTTATAAGCTTAAATGAAACAAAAGCGATCAAATCAACATAATAGATAAAAACATTGATTTACCTTAAATGCTAACCTGTTGCCACCAGTTGCTTCAAACTGAAACTATGGACGCTCTCACCTGCATCTGGGAATACTGGTCCCCTCCCACCCCTCTTTGCCTCCTCGCTCTTACCTTAACTCCTCACCTCCTGGTCCACCCTTGTCATGCCAATTGGGTGGCTTGAAATCACTGCTGCAGGCTCATTGCCTGATTGGCTCAGCTCGCTGTCAATACTTATCCTTGTCCTGCCTTTTCTCAAGTTTACACTTCTGTTTCCTAGGAAACCCAGTGACTGTGAAAGCCCAAGCTGTTTGCCCTAGGAGAGAAGCCAGCAGGAAGTTCTGCTGGCAATTGTTTGGTTTCTAGAACAGCATCAAAACTTGCCTCATATGTTTTATAAGATAATGTTCAGCAACTTCTCTTACTTCTTTAGCCAATCCCTTCTTGCCCTTCTGTTGTCTCCAGATGGTTTACTGCTAGGGTGTCTTATTATCAGGTTAGACTTAAAATCACAACACACTGGAGCAGGCAGGTGTAATTACAGGTGATTTAAAGTCCTCCCTCCTCCTCATCCACTGTACTAACAGGATGCCACTTCCCACTGTGTCCATCCTTGGTTTGTTCTTTTCTCTTTTCTTCTCCTCTTTTCCTTTTCACTTCTTATCTCTTTTTACACTTGTTCCTTAACAATAAGTTTGCCAGATAAGAAGCACTCTAGTGGCCTTGTTTAGAAAAAATACCTAAATCATGCTCTTTCGTTGTTGTACCTATGGCATCCACCCTACCCTCATCATTTCCACCTCTTCTCTGGATTCCATCATGAAGTGGTGCAAAGAACCGAAGACTAGAACTATGAAGACCTGAGTTCCACTTTCTGTTCTGCATCTTACATTCTATGTATTCTCAGGCAAATGTGGTCATTGATTTCTACAATGTCTAGGGTGGACACAGAATTTGGCCTTGCCAACTTCTCAGACTTGCCCTGGAGGTCAAGGAGTGATATTCTCTGTGGATTTTAATGAAGACTTGTCTTGGTTGAGGGGATTTCCAGCAGGGTGTGATTTTACAAGCAAGAAAAAGTCACTTGTTCAAAAACATGTCCCTTATCTCTCTTTTGGGGTTAGACGTTGTTTTCAGAAGGCCCCTGCCTATGGAGCCTGACACCTACCCAGCAGTTAGAAGGAGCTGATACTGGCAGGGATTAGATGTGCTCCCCACCTCCACCCCAGGGTATTCTGAGCATCTTCTCCATACACCATTAGCCATTTCATCCAAAAACATTCCTTCTTGCGACAGCTGACCTCCTGGTATTAAGCTGTTCATTTCACTTTCACTAATCAAAATTACTAAGGTAAACTAGTAAGCTATTAAGGAGCAACCACTTAGACAAGATGTACCAACAATGACAGATAAATCTGCCTTTTAATTAATCAGTAGAAAAATGGGAAGCCCACTGAGGACCTTAGAGGACCAGGAGAGAGTCCAGTTCATCTTTGCATCTTCCAAAGTGTCCAGCACGGTACCTTGTACAAAAATGAAATCAATCAATGTTGGTTGAATCAAATTGTTGAACTGGATAATATGCATTCATACTAAGAACGTTTAAAATATGAAATCTGCTTTTAAGAAATAGTTCCTTGAACTAAATAGAAGTTTGCATAAGACCACAAGTATTCCATTTACTTCCTGTCACATGGATAATTAGTTGACATTTAAATAAATAACTTAACTCACAATAGCCTGCAACTGGGATGTGATCAAGGAAACAACAGAAGATTGACATGGGGGAATCCCGTCTACAGAACATTTAGTATAGATAGGCACACAAGGAATCAAAAATTATCAGGTCTGAGGAGAAAAAAGGAAAATGGATACAGAAAAGTGAATAGAGTCTAAGGGACTTATGGGATCCCATCATACCGATTAATATAGGCATTACAGAAGTCACAGGAAAAGAGAGAGAGAAAGGAGCAGAGAGATTAAAGAAATAAAGGCACATGATGTGATATTACATGTAGACAACCCTAAAGATTCCACACACACCAAAAAAACCTATGAGAACTAATAAATAAACTTAGGAAAGTAGCGAGAAACAAAATCAGCTCACAAAAATCAATTGTGGTTCTATACGTTAATAATGAAAATTTCAAAAAGGCAATTAGAAAAACAATTCCATTTACAACAGCATCAAAAGAATAAGAGCCAGCCCTGATGGCCTAGTGGTTAAAGTTCAGCACTCACTGCTTCAGCAGCCTGGGTTCACTTCCTGGTCGTGGAACCACACCACCCATCTGTCAGTTGCCATGCTGTGGCGGTGGCTCACATAAAACTACCAGAAGGACTTGCAACTAGGATATACAACCATTCACTGGGGCTCTGGGGAGGAAAACAAAAATAGAATAAAATATTTAGAAATAAACTTAACCAAGTAGGTGAAAGATTTTACAGTGAAAACTAAAAGATATTGCTGAAAGAAATTAAAGAAGACACAAATTAATGGAAAGAAATCCAGGCTTCATGGATTAGAATAATTAATTCTTTAAAGATGTCACTACTACTCAAGGTGATCTACAGATTCCATGTAACCTCTACCAATATTTTATTGCAGAAATAGACAACTCATCCTAAAATTCATACAGAATTTCAAAAAATCCTGAGTACCAAAACAATCAAACAAAAGAGCAAGGTTGGAAGTCTCACACTTCTTGATTTCAAAACTTACTACAAAGCTACAATCATGAAAATAGTGTGGTGCTGGCATAAAGACAGATACATAGATCAATGAAATAAAATAGAGAGCCCAGAAATAAACCCTTGTATATTTGGTGAAATAACTTTTGATAAGGGTGCCAAGACCATTCATTAGGTAAAGGACAGTCTTTTCAACAATAAGGTTGGAAAACTGGATATCCACATGCAAAGGTTGAAGTTGGACCGTTACATTATACCATATAGTAAATTAACTCAAAATGGATCAAAGACCTAAAGATACAAGGGAAAACTATAAAACCCTTAAAAGAAAATATAGGGAGAAATATTCATGCCATTGGACTTGGTAATAATTTCTTGAATATGACACCAAAAGCACAGGCAACAAATTAAAAAATAGGTAGACCAGGGCCGGCCCCGTGGCTTAGTGGTTAAGTGTGTGCGCTCTGCTACTGGCGTCCTGGGTTTGGATCCCGGGCGCACACCGACGCATCGCTTCTCTGGCCATGCTGAGGCTGCATCCCACATACAGCAACTAGAACGATGTGAAACTATGACATACAACTATCTACTGGGGCTTTGGGGAAAAAAGGAGGAGGATTGGCAATAAATGTTAGCTCAGAGCCGGTCTTCCTCAGCAAAAAGAGGAGGATTAGCACGGATGTTAGCTCAGGGCTGATCTTCCTCACACACACAAAAAAATAGGTAGACTGGATTTCATCAAAATGAGAAACTTTTGTGCACCAAAGGACACTATCAACACAATGAAAAGGCAACCCAGGGAACGGGAGAAATATTTGCAAATCATATATCTGATATGGGATTGATATCCAGTTTACATAAAGAATTCTTACAACTCTATAAACAAAAAAACAACATGATTCAAAATTAGGCAAAGACTTGAATAGGTATTTCTCCAAAGAAGATATATAAATGGCCAGTAAGCTTATTAAATGGTAAACATCACTACAAGGGAAATTCTAATTAAACCGCAATGAAACACTAATTCACACTCATTAGGATGGCCAATATCAAACTTTAAAAATTAAAAAAAAAAAAAAACTGAGACAGAAACAGAAAATGACAAGTGTTTGTGAGGATATGGAGAAATTAGAACCCTTGTGCCTGGTTGGTGGAAATGTAGACTGGTGTAGCCACTGTGAAAAATTGTATGGCAGTTTCTCGAAAATTAAACATAGAATTATCATACAATCCAGAAATTCCATTTCTGGGTATATACCCAAAAAATTAGAAGAAGGAACTTGAACAAATATTTGTACACTACTTTTCATAGCAGCATTATTCACAATAGCCAAAATCGGAAGCAACCCAAATGTTGATCAACAGATGAATGGATAAACAAATGTGGTATATACTTACAAGGGAATATTATGCAGCCTTAAAAAGGAAGGAAATTCTGGGCTGGCCCTGTGGCTTAGGAGTTAAGTATGCGTGCTCCGCTACTGGCAGCCCAGGTTCGGATCCCGGGTGCGCACCGATGCACCGCTTCTCCAGCCATGCTGAGGCCGCGTCCCACATACAGCAATTAGAAGGATGTGCAACTATGACATACAACTATCTACTGTGGCTTTGGGGGAAAAAAAGGAGGATTGGCAATAGATGTTAGCTCAGAGCTGGTCTTCCTCAGCAAAAAGAGGAGGATTAGCATGGATGTTAGCTCAGGGCTGATCTTCCTCAAAAAAAAAAAAAAAAAAAAAGAAGGAAATTCTGGCACATGCTACAACATGGATGAATCTTGAAGACATTATGCTAAAGGAAATAAGCCATCACAGAAGAACAAGTATTGTATGACACCACTTATATAAGGACCTAGAGTAGTCCAATTCATAGACACAGAAAGTGGAATAGTGATTGCCAGGGTCTGAAGGCAGGGGGAAGTGAGGAGTTACTGCTTAATGGGTATGAAGTTTCAGTTTGGGAAGATGAAAATGTTCTGGAGATGGATGGTGATAATTGTTGCCCAACAATATGAAAGTACTTAATGCCCCTGAACTGTACCCTTTTAAACTGTTAAAGTGGTAAATTTTATACTATGTATATCTGACTATAGTAAAAAAATTAGAAAAGGAGAAAAGAAAAATTGTAGAAAGCAAGCATCTATTATCTCACAGATTACAGACCTTAGCTTCCATTATTCTTCTCCTTAGTAACTTCAGTCTCAGTTCCAAGGCCTGACCCACCATCATGTCAGATAAGACCTCTGGTGTTTTGGCTTGGTTTTATTTGTGCAGTTGAGTCTTCCACTACCCTAGTCTAGCCAGAGTCAGTGAGGGAACCCAGCCTCATGGCCATCTCACTTCTACCCCCACGTATTGGTCCCCCTGTTCTCCCAATCTAGTGGGTCTTTCCTTCCCAGCTCCATTTATAAAAAA